CCTGCTAGCCTCAGGGGGACTCTATCACACACATTCCTGTCCCTGCGCGGACGCCCTGCAACAGCTGCGTCAACTCGCTGCAACTCGCTGCACCGCTGCACTTTATTCATTCCTCGTTGCTCCGCTGCTGAGTTGGCCCGGGCAGCACCAACTTGAATAGCTTCGGGTCTTTTTTTTCTTTGCTGCATCGTCAGTTGTTTTTTTGCACCCGCTACCTACAACCTGCACCCCTCGGCCCCACTGCTGGGAAAAAAAGAGCAGAGAAAACCCCCCTTCGTTTTACATGACCAGAGAATCATTCATTCACATTGTATGTACGTACCATCGTCCGTCTCTACATACTACACGCCCCGTCATCCAAGTCCTGTTCCCTCTCCAAAGGTCAAAGGTCCATGATTCCAGTCCTCTAGCCCCAAGTCCCCCCTTCGCCCGTTGCCTCCCTCCTCCTCCTCTCCCTACCAACCAACCACTATCAACCCTACATACACACAGACAATCATACCTACATGTGTGCTGCACCCTAACTGCTGCGACCCTCCCTCTGTACCTGCAGCCACGAGGTCTCACAGCACTGGGAACAACCCCCCGACCCTACCTACCTGGTTCTAGTGTCCTACAGTGTACCACAGCTTCAAGTGTGTACCTTTCAACCTAATTGCTTGCCATCTAGGTCCCATCCACACGCAATAAGTCTTTTGCTAGACTCTTCCTATCCTCTCTCTTCGATATTCGCCCTCCCTGCTTTCTCTCTTCGTTGTCGACCATCGTCATTCGCCGCCTTACGAGCATCGGCAGCAACATCACCGTCATAGTCTCTCCCTCGACTCGCACCCTATCCAACTCAGTAATAACTCGCACACCTCGCCCGCTCGCGACGCACGCATACACCTGCTATATGAGCTGCTGGGGAATAATTCTGTCTTATTCGGACTGCTGCTATGAGTCTGGATCAGCACATATATGGGTACGGCTCCTTCTTGTCCCGGTTTTTACCACTTTCCAGTTACCATGATGTCTTGGGATCGGTGCATAGGCAGCAACATATGAAGGGATGGATACATCAATGGCTGTCGGTCGGTTGCCTGTGTGCTGCAGACGTTGCTACACCCTCTACCTGTCTTGTCTTGAGGCTTCGCCGAATCAGCACAGTCGAGTTGAAAGAGATCCAGGCAGAGGGCAGGCAGCACCTGCACCTTTACCGATTTCGTGAAGCGCCAAATCCACCTGTGCACCGACCTCGCCCGTCTCAAGATCCCCATCGCGCTTCAAATCACCGCCGTGCTCCCGCTTCATTGTTTTTTTATTCTTTATCAATTCCAATGGCACGCATACCTCATCGAACAACTCTCTTCTCTCTTTTCCTTTTGCTTGGCCCCTTGATTAGTCATTCACTGTTTCACCTCCACCGTCTCGATCTGTTTCAAGGCTAACTAGACCTTTTTGTTTCATCAGATCCACGGATTGGCATCTTCCCAGTCCCTCCTCCACACCGAAGTCCGGAGTATTTCCAGATTCTACCTTTAGGACGCCAAAGCCTGAGCCCGTTCCTCAGTCCCACTTCCTCGACGCCTGGTCCACCCCGAGAGTCAATGGGCACCAAACCCCCGCACAGACCCCATTGTTCACCTTCACCACCCCGATAGATCGTCGACCATCCACATCGTACAGCCAAAGAGTTCCTACACCAAACGACCCAGAATTCCATGTCAATCACTTTGCATCGAACAATCTCCCTTTGCCACCTGTCGAGCCTTCTCGCCGCCTGTCATCTTCCCCTGACCCCCTCGCGGCGAGGCTCCGAGAGAACCCTCCACTCCGCCCTCGTCCTGTCAGCATGGATCCCTCACAGATGCAAACACCACCACCTACTAGGGATGCCACATCGCGGAGGGGAATGAACCAGCCAGGAGGGGGGCATGATTTTGGTACACCAGCAACAGTTATAAATCGGTCTCAAACAATTGGCCTGCCAACAGAGGGCATGTTCAATCAAGCTTCATTCGGCCTGACTGCATTGCAGTTCTCGCCGGATCTGGTTCAGTTTCCGAGTACTGGACCCATGTCCGCACCTGCCATGCCCCAATCTCGTCTCTTCTGGGATCAAAATGATGCTGGTCAGATGGACGTGGACCTCCCTATTGGGTCTGATCCATTCGGTCCCACGCCTCATAAGATTGACCACAGTTTCAATTGGCAATCTTTCAACACGCCGATTCCAGGTAACCAAATGAACTCACAAGCTTTCCAAGCACTACACGGCATGTCCTCTCCAGGACCCGCACCATCCTTCGCAAATAACAACCTAGGGTACGACCACTCGAATTCGAGGCCGAACTCCTTCATATCCACATCAGGTGGCGTGGATCCAAGCATGCTTTTTAGTTTCTCTAGCCCCGGCCCTGCTGCATCGTTCAATATCCCACCCCAGCCTGTCAACTCGAAGCCTGATAACAGACAGCCATACGAAACTCAACTGATGGACTCCCTTCGTGAAAGGGATATGGCCAAAAAAACTAAAAGTCAGCACTCACGTAATAGTACTTCGTCATCCACAACCTCCTCTGAAGCTGTTCGACCTGGCCTGCAACGCAGCAATACCGATAGTGGATTTAGGAAGAGCAGGCCCTCATCAATGGAATCGAAGAGTTCAGGGACTGCTCCAGGGTTCAACATTCCTCGCCGCTCATCACCATTGAAAAGGCAGAGCGGTGGATCTCTATTGGCGATACCAGAGATCAGAAGGCCAAAGACTCGATTGGTCATTGACGAGACTGGACGTGCTCGTACAGAGACTGTTCCTGCGGATGAGGAGGAGATAATACCGGAAGTACGTAGGGATCCGCCCAAGAACATGAGGAAACAGTACCCAGGTCTATGGGCGGAAGATGACAGCGATTCTGAATCCGACGAATCGGCTACACTCAGTCGGACCAACTCATTCAATATACCGCTCGCTCAACGCCGTTCATCAAAGCATGCACGAGCTGACAGTGGGGGGCTAGAACGTTCAAATTCTTTCAAGATGCCAAGGCCTGCCTTGGGAATGTTTGACAAGTCTTCGTTCGAGACGATTCGCCCAGTAAGAAGAACTGCCACGGATAATGCGTATCGACGGTTTAGCATGATGGAGTTTCCTTCCTCATTCAACGACACGGAAGATCAACAGATGCCCGACTCCCCAGGTGATGCATTGGGCGCATTGAAGAAGGTGGTCGAAGGCAGACAGAAACGAATAGGTATGGCGACCAGGTATATGGAAAACAACCTTGACTGACTTGGTTAGAGCGCTCCACTCAAAATACACTAAAAGCTCACAATCAGCGTTGGGCTCAGGCTTCCGCAGACATGGTCAACACCAATGTCAGCCCACACGGCCTATATGACCAAGGCCTGGCCTCGTTCAATGGATCTCCTGCTAACACTACTGATGCCGGACTCACAACGCCTTCGACAGATCGTAGTAGCCTGTCAAGTGAGAGCACACGTTGTGTCTGCAACTCAGTAGACGATGGTGGCATCATGGTGCAATGCGAGTCTTGCAACAAATGGTTGCACATGGCATGTGTTGGTTTCACTCAAGATACCCTTCCTCCTGTATACGTATGCGTCTTCTGCACCGGCACGACACCAATAGCCAGAGGCGGTAGAGTACGGGGCCCGATCCCGTTCGATTCCCCTCTCACACACAAGTCTGTTTTCAGACGTCAATAACACCAACACCCAACAATTATGGGTGAAATAATACTACGCTGACACTGAACATGAGCCACGGAGCAACAAAATGTTTGCTTCTAGTGTCTTACTCATTGGAGTACTCGTTTCCGCTCGATCCCAGGATACCCTCGCCCCAATTCGGCTCACTAGTTAGCTTTTATTGCATCTCGAAATATCCGGCATCTGCATTATTAATCTTGCATCATGAGATTTCTCATAGTTTCCGCGACTTCATGCCCTTTCCGCCATTTTTCAGCGTTGATTGTCCAGTTTTATCCCGCAACAACAGCAAACCAGCATCTTATACACTTGCATGCACCCTCACGGGTCTCCGATTCATACAGTCCCTTCCAATGGTAATCATCCTCCACCTCGAACCGAACCAACCAATCACTGGACCGAAATAAAAACTGCAATTTAACCACGCAGTCTAATGAGCTCTTCCTTCGCTTCCTGCACGGGTATGGTAATCCTGCCGGTCAGGATTCCGTCCCTATGTGAGAGACGATGGAAGAGGGAAGAATATAATATCTTGTTATGTGTCTACCCGTCACTCCTCAACCGATGGGAGGAATAAGAGGCAGGAGGAGGAAAAATATAATGCTGACGAGCTACGTCCCCTTTCTTTTCCGTCTATCTTTGGCAGACATTACTGCCTTCGTTTTACGCTTCTGCACGCTCCTTTATGAATACACGTTTACGAGGACAATTGAAAGCTTGCTCGAACGTTGAATTGGTTCGCTGTTCGTTTTGTTGCGGTTTCCTATTTCTCCTATCGTTATCTGGGTTGAGTTGATTGTGGGGATTAAGATGAAGTAACGCTCTGCAAAGTTGTGCAGCAGCGATTGGTCATTTTGTCCAATTTGGCGCCCACCGCTGGTGGTGGGTTGAGTAAGGGAGCGACGGGGTTCTTCTGGCTGTGTAGTCTCGACAGGTAGTTGAGTGTGTATATACGAATTGAACGAAGAGCTGCAGCAGGCGAAGCGGGAAGCAAACAAGGACAATGACGATAGACATATATGTGAAATTACTGCTAACAGTTCATGTCTTTTCTTGTGCAGACCATACAGTCCTCTCGGGTGAACTATCAGGCAAACCTGATAGGCCCACAGTAGCCACTCCGCTAGCCTCGCCCCAAAAATTACTCTCTCGGCCGTCGCCCCACCTCGACAGACCGAGATCCGATCATTCTTCAGCAGTTTTCACTTTTCTTTCCTCTTTTCCAAACAAATGCTCTCTTCATATATTTTGTTGCTGTATGATTCTTCATCAAACAAAGCAACATAGGAGCCTTGGCGCAATGGTAGCGCGTTGGTTTTCGGTACGCTCGGTTCTCCTTCGGAGCATCTCGGGTTAAGCTTGCATCACCAAAGGTTGTGGGTTCGAGCCCCATGGGCTTCGTTTGTTCTTTTTTTTTTCCAATTCTTGTTCACTCCAATTGTATATGCAATTGGTCATTTTTGGCAGAGGGAAATGGCGGGGTAGGAGAAGGAGTGGAGGGTGCTTCTTCTTTTTGCCTTTCAGCCGTCGCTGCTTTGTTTTATATTGATGAATGAGGAAGGAGCGGCTCGGATTCATGGAACAGAACACCTGGTGTTATATTTGAATTTAGACTTTTCCTGTACATAATAACAGGATCTCGCTACAGGTTCTTGCAACATAGTAACGTTACGTTCTACAAGAATCAATATACGTGCATCACAACAGTGAAAGTAATTTAGGTAACTGATTGCCATAAAGCAATTCTTAGGTTTATTTTGCTAGCCAAGTAAAGTGGCCTCTTGAACAAGTTTGTTCGTTCAAAGACAAGGAAGACTAGGATTGAAGAGACAGGCAGTTGTTGTGGCCTGCAGTATCGTCTGGGACACGGGGAAATAATAGATTGCAAGTGGGCGAAAACAGAACTGGATTCCTGCGCTGGGGTAGCATGAATAGATTATCAAAGCTCCAAACTCGAGCGATACGACGATATCTCTCTCTACGAGATGGTACAGCTCTGCTTGTCTTCGGCCCCTAACCCTTCATTCTCGTCCCAATAGTAGCTCCACATCTTCAGCCCCATCATCCCATCGCTGTAGCTTCTCGCCCCTTGCTCTCCTGCAGCCCCCGCGCACACCACTAGCGGTAGAAAGTGCTCCGCGCCCCCTCTTGGGTGCATATCGTACGCACCTTCCCATCCCCTCCACCCGTCAAATGCCTTTCCTCTTGCCTCAACTCCCACATTCTCCACAGCCTCGGCGACTTGTCGACTCCATGCCTCGTTGAGGGCCTTGAACTTCTGGGTTCTTGTGGTGCCAGAGAACATGGCATTGAGATTGTGCAAGGAGGCGAAGCCGGAGCCAACGATCGCGATGTTCTGGGCACGTAGAGGAGCGAGGGCGCGGCCGAGAGCGAAGTGGGCTGCGGGCGATTCGGAGGCCAGGACGGAGACCTGGATGATGGGGATCGTAGCAGCGGGGTGGATGAGGGTTAGAGGTATGAAGACGCCGTGGTCCCAGCCTAGAATCGGTCAGTGAAAAGCACAAGATTATGATTAGAATGAGCATGGATGCACACGACGAACCTCGTTTCGAATCTTTCTTGCATAGAATTCCCGCCTCTTTCAGCTTCCCTTCGATCAGGTCCGCGACTTCAGGACTCCCCGGCGCATCATATTTCAGTTGATATGCCTCGGGCGGAAATCCGTAGTAATCGTACAGCAGCTCATGCTTCGCTCCACTCGATATGGTAACGACATCGGTGGACCAGTGCGCCGTCACCAGAATGATTGCGCGAGGCTGCTCGGGAGTACCGAGCTTCAGGATCTTGGGAACACGGGTGCGCAGCGATTTTGCGATCTCGGCCTGGGAGGGGTCGCCGAGGACGGGCATTGGGCCGCCGCCATGAGATATGGAAATTACGGGTGCGAGGCGGGTCATATTGGAGCTGTATAGCAGGAAATGTTGGGCGCCGTACAGGGGATTGAGGGTGTGTTTGGTGAGTGTAGATGCGGAGACACGGTGCAGGTCAAATCTGGTGGCTAGAAGAGTAAGGAAAGAGGAATGGGCGAGTCTCATGATCCATCAAAGAGGGGGGGAAAGAGGAGAGGATTGAGGGTTTTCATGGTGAGGCTCTGCTTGGTCGTCGGATGGATTGAAGCGCGAGTGTAAGGAAAAGGGAAGTGTGTTTGTAAGTGCGGAATAATGCCGAAGGGTCGGAGTCGGATGGAGCGGGCATCCGATGCGGAGGACGATTACAAAGGAGCTTGGGACTTTGGGAGTGCTGATTTGAAGCGGATAGCCCTTGGTGCCATTGTATTTGCCCGAAAGAAGGACACCTGGTGTTCCTTGGTCTATTATGTCATAATTTCTTTTCGGGCCAAAGCATGTTGGTTTGAAGACCTTGGAGAGGCACGAAAGGGTACTAAAAGGAGCCAATTGTTCTCAGGTGTCTACACACGGTAGATCTTTGGGTACCATGGCGAGCTAACCCTATTGCGGACTGGAATGATTTGGACCCTCAACATTGAAATGTTCCAAGCTGGGATCTCCAGAACGTCCTGACTCAAGTTTTGATCTTCCCGCATTGAACAGGTGGGCATGGCGCATAACCTCCCCCGTTCAGAATCAGGGACAAAGCAAGCGAGTCGTGGTAGTGTTTAGGTGAGAGCTGTCGGAAGCAAAATAAAGGGTCCAGAACTTAAGCTACCCAAGTGATCGGCGGCCGGAACGTTCCCAGACGCACATGCCCATCTGCATCAATGCTGGAGGTTACCTTGTCTGTAGTGGCATGTACTATGTATCCATGTATTTATAATTTCTATGCGCGAGTCACACCGTTGTCCACTCTCCTATGGGCCATGGCCTGTTCTCTCTCTCAGGGTTCCATACGGAGGATGGTAATGCACATTACGCCGTATTGTACATGTAGTATGTATATATATGTACAGGTTAGCGGCTCGTACGGGACCCAGGAAGCCGGAACCCAATACCTGCGGGCGATGGCTGCAAAGGGTACATACCATGTATGTGCATGATATTAGCGCAATGGGCGTCAATGCCAGTCAATGCCTTCAGACGCGCGGTGAAGTGGTCAAATCGTACGATCTGGCTCAGCAGATGGGGCCGGCGCCTGGTCGTCAAAGGCAAGACGTGTCCGCTGGGACGACATGTCCCAAACAGGAGAGCAGACCAATAGGGAGGGTATTGGATAGATTGAGGTTGGATGAGTGCACGTGTGGCTAGATTGTTTGGGTTTGCCTTGACAAGAAGGGTGAGATGTGACGAAGAAGGTGGAGCGGAGTGGGAGGGGGACTGGATAGATGCATCGGATCGTCTCGCCGCGTCTGACAGCATGAGAGTGGCGTATTCAGCAGAAACTAGGTAGGGGGAAAACCTAAACGGACAGACAAGACGAAGCAGACGGAGGGAGAGGATGAAGTTGATGACGGTCTTTCTTTGCTTTGGAGTCTTTTGTTGGGTGGAAACAGCCGGTGCCGTGGTGACAGGCAGGTAGAGGGAAAGGTTATTGGATGGGAGTAGAGCCGGAGGGAGACAAGACAACATTAGCCCGGCATTCTATCGAAACCTTTTTTTTTCATTTTCATTGTTTTCCCGTGTACGGGTTGGTCTGGAGGGAGGCTTGAGCCCTTGAGGGGAGCGAGGGAGACTGCAGGCGGACGGTTTAGGACGTGGAGGGTTTCCCAAGGTTGGCCGTTTGGAGAGAGTGGGGGAATGTGATTGGACGGCAAGCGCAAGGCGTAAGTTGAGCCGGCCGATCTGCAACCGCCAGCAGGGCGGGCCGAGCGAGCGAGACGAGACGAGAAGAGACCAGACACCAAAGACCAGAGACCACAGACCAGACGAGAGACCAAGCGAGAAACCAGACGAGACGAGCGTCTTCCTTCGTTTTTGGTTTCCCTCCAGCAGGCCAACAGGGCCTAGAAAGAAGCAATTGCAATCCCCCCCAGTCTCCCCCCTCTTCGTCACCCCACGTCTGTCCGCTTGTCCCTGCCGCATGCACGCACGCACCACCAAGTACTTTCACTTCTTTCACTTGATTCAATCCCTCACTCACGCACTCGTCCACTAGGTCAATTGTTACCCGAGGTCACCTTCCTCACCTTCCTCACCCTCCTCACCCTCCTCACCCTCCTCACCCTCTTCATCCTCCTTGCCCTCCTCTTTACCCTCTCATTCCACCTTTTATAACCCCCCTCCCCCCCCTCCCTTCATCGCACACTCGGAACGAACCGAACCCCTCCTTCCACCATCAAACATGGCTACAATTACTACCACCCCCACAGCTCGCAATCACCAACGACACCCCACCTGGTCCCTCTCCTACCGCGAACGCGCATCCCTCCCCACCACCGGCCCGCTCGCCTCCTACCTCCTCCGTCTCATCTCCATAAAGAAGACAAACCTGTGCCTCTCCGCCGATGTCGAGACCTCCGCAGAGCTGCTCGCCCTCGCCGAAGAGGTTGGCGACTCCATCTGCATGCTGAAAACCCACTGCGACATTGTCACAGACTGGACAGAACGGACCGCAAAGGCCCTCAAGGAAATTGCTCGCCGCAAGTGGTTTGTCATATTCGAGGACCGTAAATTTGCCGACATTGGAGGCACCGTCCAGAAACAATACACCTCCGGCTACCACCGCATAGCCACCTGGGCAGAAATCACAAACGCTCACATCCTGCCTGGCCCTGCCATCGTTACCGCCCTCCACCAGGCCGCCGACCAGACCATTGCAAAGTACAACACCGCTGTTCACACTGAAATCTCCGCCGCCCCACGGCCGCACATCAACGGCCATGCTCACAGGGAAAGTGACGGCGACGAAGAGGACAGCGACAATGTTGCCGCCAACACATCTGCCGTAGAATCGCCATTAGAGACGGATGAGTCGGATGAGCGCCGCCTCAGCATAAAGGCTCAAGACCGCAAGCACAGCGTCGTGAGCATCAGCACCACCATATCCCACCGCACCGAGAGCATTTCCCCACGGCCTGAGCCAGACTTCTACTCCAGCGAGGCCCTTACAGTCGATACCCCAACTCTCCTCTCCCGCCTTGGCGAGGTTCCGTTCCTGCGCTCGCTCCTCCTTCTTGCCGAGATGAGCTCCGAGGGCCATCTCCTGACCCCCGAGTACTCTAGAAAGGCCGTCGAAATTGCCCGCCAAAACGCGGGATTCGTCATGGGTTTCATCGCACAGCGGAGTCTGAACACCGAGCCGGATGACAATTTCCTGACCATGACCCCGGGTTGTCAGCTCCCACCCCCAGGCCAGGAAGGTAAAAAACTCGGGGATGGATTGGGCCAGCAGTACAACACTCCACACAAACTCATTTTCGACCAAGGCTGCGATCTAATCATTGTCGGCCGAGGTATAATGAATGCCATGGATCGCGTCAAGGAGGC